TTATAAACATACATAATCACATTATAAAAAAAATAAAAAAAAAAATACCTTAATAAAAAAAAAACAAAAACTAAAACAAAAAAAAAAAAAAAAAAAAAAAAAAAAAAAAAAAAAAAACAATACTGATATTTAATGCCTAGTAAGATATATATATTAATCACAACATATGTACAATATGATGCAACTTAATTTGAATAAAAAGTCAATAAGTAAGAGATACAGTGAAATGCGGAAAGCTTAGATAAATTAAGAAACAATCATGTCGTTATATACTTAATGAATTAATGTGAGCTAAATTGAATTAACGATGTGGTCTTGAATAATTCTATTACTAAATGACTATTGCTGTATAATTACTGTGTCGTTCTTTGATTCCTATCGATTTGGAATCATTTGTGAATTGTTTTTGCTCTGCCGTCATCGGATGACGTAGCATCATTTAAATGATCTTCCACACAGCATAAAGGCAGCAGACTTTGATATGAAATTGCTATAAAATGGCTGGATTCTACATGTATTCCACGAGGCCTCACTTGAGGGTAAGAAGGCTCAGGTGTGAATATTGCTTTGCGAATGGAGGTTGCTTGTTTGCATGTAATCTTATTTTTGATTCTGACAATGAGGATATTATTAGAGTTACCTGATAATTTTAAATTAGACAATCAATTAACTGATAACGTTAAATTGTACGTACGCAGGGACGCGTAAAATCTTCGAAGTTTCATATGGGTCGATTTACTTTTCAAACCGATCTAATTCAGGTCAAATTTACTGATTACTTGCCATCAGTTTAAAACTGATAAGCCAATGGCCAAATGATCAGCAAATTTTGACCAGAATTAGTTCGGTTTGAAAAAATTGGCACATACGTACGTACAGTACGTACGTTGGATATAGGGCTGTAGTAACAAAATATATCATAATAAAGCAGGCCGGCTTTGTATTAAAGCCGACCAGAATAACTTTAGCCAGCATTAAGGTTATTAAAGGATGAAATTTTTATTATTATTATACATAACTTACCCTTACATGGTAACTTACATGACTTAAAATGTAACTTACAATTTAAAAATAACTTACAGTAAGTTATACAACCCTATATCGATATATATAGTTGGATATAATTTTATCATATGATCTGAGAATGATTGGCTTTGAATTGTTTAAGCATGTGATTTTTGCCAATATACGTACTGTACGTATCAGGTATGTACGTACAGTACGTACTTACCAGTTGTGTTTATTCACGTATCATTAGATAATATGCATGCTCGACTAGGAGTAATGGCCCTTCCGGATTGCTTAGTCATCTTTTCGATCTGTTTGCTTCATCAACTTGAATGAAACAAATCTAAATTTTCAGTCTTATCCGAATTTTTGAAATTTCAACAGAAATGATCAAAATTTTGGCACAAATCGCCGACTTTGTAGAATAGATTAAAAACAAAGTATGTATCAAAGGTCTGAAACAAATGATCTGATTAAACATTTATCAAGCGTCTTGATTGGATACCGTCAACAAAATACAATAAATTTGAAACCGGCTCCAAAAAAAAAAAAAAAAAGATCGAAATAAATTAAAATCTTATTTTGAATCGAAATAATATCTCCGTGTCTCTGCTCTGATATAATATTGTAAGTATAAAAGATGAAACATCTATTTAATAAAGGAATTATTTTTAGGCAGTTTTCGGTAATATACAGTCAACTCTGTCTACAGTATTCCGAACCGTCTGTTCTTATAGTGCTTCCGAAGATTTTAAATTAATGGTTTTTTCGAACTACTCTTATTTCACGAAATAGAAACTTACTCCCGTGACTTGCCGAGGTTTCATTATAAAGCTGCATAGTTATAATGATTTTCTTTCATTAAGCTCTTGCCATTATTTACAGAATTACTATGGTTATTATAAACCTTGTTCAGAGCTACACTGCGCATTCATTATGCATCGTTCTCCCAAAATCGGTCGTTACAATATTCCAAGCTTAACAGCTTACCTTAAATACTTGATCAATGAATATTACTTATACTGTCTATTATATTGATCAAGCAAAATAAATAGGGTTGTTATGATAGTAAATATTCGCAAATTTTTGGATAGATTATCTCAAATACCTTAATTAATGAATATCCTTTTGAACATCTAGTAAATTAATACAAGCAAAATTAACGAACTTGCTAGGATATCGTATGATGGCAAATATTTACGAACTTGACACCTCTATCCGGATTTATATATCCGGATTGAGGTATTAACTCTAAACTTGACAGCTTATCGTACATTGACTAATAAATATTCTTTTTGCTCACCTATTAAATTAATATAATAGACTGCTTATGTAAATGCTCTTTTGTTGTCCTCTTCATGCCGACAAAAAATCCGAGAAAAAAAATAAAATACAGAAATATAGAAATACGTACAGTACGTACAGTACATATCGATCTTATATGTAGGCAGCCGGAATTATACTGCTGTAGCTGGCCTGGATATAAATATTACGCTGCGCAATCTCTTAAAATTTCTGCAATGCACGTACAGTACGTAGACAAAATATCATCGCGCCCCTATTGCGTTCAATAAATCACCCAATGAGGGATAAGATTTTGTGGAGCAGCGCCATTTAATTGCCATATAACCATACCTTCGTGATATTTGCATCACTCCGTTCCTGGTATTTTTGGGAATTTAGGATTTATTTTAGAAATTTGACATCCGGAAATGAGCTCAAATTTTTAGGACAACCAAAAATCAACCTTACTGATAGAGATGGTCTTTTTTTCTTCCTGTTGATATATTACAAGCTTTTCTATACTATTTCACTATAGCGTTATATGTATAAGTATTATTCATACTTAATTTCGAAAATAATTTGAAATTTTCGAAAAAAAACCATTATTTTTTATTATTTACAGTATTTATTTTATCATCAACAATAAAGATTATTAGAATTTATATTGATCTAATATCGATATTCTTTAAATTTTTTATATGTGATCAACCTATATAATTACGCAATCAAATTTTTCTATCAGTGATGAAATGATTATTCAATCAAAATAGTAAATTCCAACATACGTACGTACGTACTTGATAGCATTATAAGTAATTAATGCCCATATATAACTGATCATTACTAATATCCCAGATTTTTTCAACTTCTTTGCAATCGGTCTTTATTGGAATAAAAAATCAAGTGAGAAAATATTTTATAGATAGTAGAATCAGATAAAATTAAGATTCAAATGGTTCAGATATTAAAAAAAACTACAGTCCAATTCCTTTGTTATTGTATATAGAAGTTATATAACTGATCCTTCTCTAGGATTAGTAGACCTTTATCCACATCTAATTTAGCTATTATCAAGAATGCAAGGCCTATCCTCTTGTCAAGTCATAGTTAACAAGAAGCGCAAAAACTAAGAAATATAATATCTTAACCACTCCTGAGAATGCAGAGCCCACTCTTATCAAATCGTAGTTAATAAGAACCGCCACTCCAATCATGTCTTCGTTTAAGTCAACTAACCTTCTTTTTATCTAAAAGCTTTCTGGCGCGGTCACGAGCTTCTTGCGTAGTATTTGTATCGGCACTTATTTTTCGCAAGGAGCTATAAAACCTTGAATGAGCTTCCATTTTTTCGACAAATTCATCATTGCCAATAGAGAAAGAGATAAAGCTCTCAAGTGACCAAAACTTATGTGTAAAAAAACGAAAATATCTTTCAGTTGATCTGTTCATTGTTGAGAAAAAAATAAAATGGTGAAGCATGATGGAAATTATTTACGCCCTTAAATAATCAATTCGATTTTGTCGTTAGATTATCTAATATACGTATTATCAAATGTTTTAGCTAAAAAGGTCAATTGAACGTATCACAGATTTGAAACATTATCAGTTATGTATACGTACGTACGTACTGTAGTCTACTCTCTTACCCTTACTCTTGCAATACGTGAAAAGAGAAAATAAGAGACTAATAAATAATAGCAAATACGCTAAGAAAATTATCATTACAATATAAATGGTTGGTTTCTATATTTTTTAATTTTTCCGATCGTATTTTTTGCCGCCTAGATTACAGTATCTAATAACTACGATGTTTATTCACAGTTCGTTGATCTTGTATGACTTCAATGGTTTTTTTTAATTTTTAAAGCATAAGTATGTATTTTTCTATAATCATAATAATTATTTAAGATTATAGGTACAAAAAAAAGATTATTATTTAATTTCTTATCAATTAGTAGATAAAATATTTAACCATCAAAAGTACTTATTGTCCGAAGGACATTATGGTAGAGGCATAGAGCACCGTCCGCAAATTACGAAGTTTGATTGGCTATATCAGGTGTAAAAAAAAAATTCAAAATCGGTTTATTAAGGAAAAATGCATTTGGTTACATTACATTTTTATCATGCTTACGCAAATTAACTCTTCTTCCTGTAAAAACGGTATAATTTGAAGTCGTCGTTGTTACAATAATACCAATTCAAACTAACATAAACCTTAACCGCGTACTGTGTTGGTAAGTTTTGTAACAAAATTTTTTACGCGACTCACTGAGCGTCACGACATTTAGTAACTTTCGAATATAAATATATTAACAATATTATAACGATATTTTAATTTATTTTAACTATATTTTAACTATAGTATAAATAGTATAAATACAGAAATATATTTAGCAAAATACATAGGTTTCTGTAAAGTAAAATTTGTAAGTAGTTCAAGATTATAATTAAAAGACATCAATTGATAGAATAAGTTATTTCTAGCTGATGTTGAAAATAGAGAACTAAAATGTTTATTTTATTTTATCCAGTTGTCGAAGGTAGCGCAATAGTTGAAGTTTCTATTAACATTACAGTTTCTGTTGATACTACAGTTTGTGTTGGTGCTGTAATTCCTGCTGATGTTGTAGTATCTGTTGAAGTTGCAGTCGTGGTAACGCGTTTTCCATGTTTACTATCATTGCTTTGGCCAACAATGACCAAGTATAATTTAGTTGATGGACCCTGATCTTTAAGTCTTTTTGGAGGTTTTTTATCATTATCATAATCTATTGTGACCATATCCTTATAGGGATTGTAAAAGAAGAACGGTTTGAAAACCTTTAAAACGGTCGATTAAAACAGGGTACAATTAAAATTCGAATGGCTAAATATGAATTACATCCGGATCATAATACTACTGTTTTTAAAAAACATTTGTCATTCCTACCTTATAAATACCCTGACCTTCACAGGTTTCATATTTAAAGCCTTTTTGGTTACAGTCCCAAGTAAGGTCCGAAACTTTAATCACCCTACAGTAATTTTAGAGTGCAAAATAAATACTTTTGTTAGTTAATTATCCTTGTTTTTGATTTGTAAGCTCAGTTGAATTTCTCATAATTGCATATCTTCACTAAATTTATATTTACCTCTGAACTTAAAGGAATGTATTTAGAGAAGAAGATTGACTGTATTGAATCGAGAACAAAGCGACATTTTCCAAAATTAAATGATAAAAAAAGCTCATCGATGGAAACATTTGATGCGAAATAGAGACGAACTAATACGTATTTGCTTAAATTTCTTAATCATGCATATGAACGTTTAATTTATCACAATGTCGATAACTTATCAATTCTTTTTTAGCAATAGTCAAGAAAATTAACATTAGTGCTTTTGCTGTTAAAAGAAAAATCATCAGACTTTTTATATCAACCTCCGATGTAACAGTAAGCATGGCGTTTGGGCAATAGCCACTCACAAAAAGAACTAAAACTGTCAAAAGTGAAAGCTTCATCAAATCCATTGTTACTGGTTTAAACATAGGTTATGTCAAATATTTCCACAATATTATAATATAACGGAAGGACTTGAGAGGATTGAAATTTTTGGGAATAGGTTTTTATACAATTATTTTTTGCAACGCCGTCTTTAATAAATGAAAATGCCAAATTTATCCCTTAAACCGTTTGTCATTTCAGGGCAAATTTGCCTTGAAATTTTCCGATGATCACTTATATTATAACCGTGACAAAATAATAGCGTACATGATACAAAAATTTATACCACAGTGCAAAAACAGTATTTATTTTATTATTTATACTCATGGTACTCAATAAAGCAATTTGGACGTTGCTTATTGAGACATAAAGGTACATTACACGTTTTGCACCACACTTGACCTCGTGGTGAATTTTTGTTGTGTTTCCCTTGCTCAGCCATAGTTTTAAAACGGCACCAAACACAGGAACCTTTATCTTCACGATATTCTGGATAGTGACTTTGTGGAGATAATCTTTCAATAGGTAAATCATATTTTTTTGTAACATAAAATGGTCTTTGCCGATCATTTTGTAATTCGGACTGGAATTTTTCTTTCTTTGTCCATGTATTTATTTGTTGGCTCATTTGAATTATTTCAATTGATTCTTCCACTAAACTCCATGCTAAACTTATCCTAAAATCTTTGTGCACCATTGCCAAGTTAAGATTTTTTGAAATTAGGAAGGTATTAACAATGCTAGTATCCAGGAGCCAAAAAAACAATGGCATCCAAGTGCGACGTACAGGAACTTGTGTACCATAATAGCCCTTAATTGATCAGCTATATCAACTCCACCCATATGATAATTGTAATTATCTATTACAGCAGGTATAGGAAGAACTTTCTTACTTTCATTACCAAACACACTATGTACTTTCATAGTATTTGTGCTAGTTGTCCGTGGTCTTCTCCTTTCTCATTCTACTTGATTTTCTTCACCTAAAATTTCATGTATAGTTGTTAACATGGTCACTGGACCATTATCCATTCAAAATACTACTAAAACATCATCCACAACTACTCCAGAAAGAGTATCCCATTCTAATTTTTGTGATTTTTTTATTTTTAAGCAAGTAGAAAATTTTGAAGTATTAATTCTTACTGTTCCACAACCACCATATCCATTTTTTCGCATATGACTAAATAGATTAATACTTGTAAAATAATTATCCATGTAAATATCAAATGCTTTACCCTTTGGAAGTTGAGATATCAGGTGATAAACCTGCCAACCAATTTTATTAACATTTGGGATTGGATTAATTTCAGAATTAGATTCAATAGATTCAATATGGGAAGTAAAAATAAAACAATAAGTATATCCTGAATCACATAATGAAAGTATTTTGTACCCTTCTGGTGTGGGTTTATTTTTAATTCGCACTGTAGAATTGCTTTTACCTCAATTAAAACTTGTGATTTTGGTAAGTAAATTGATTTAGAAACTTTTTGAATGTGTTGCTAAGGGTTCAATTTTTGAATACCATAGTAACTATGATGTTTTTGTTTCAATTTTTGCAATATGAAGGTATTGCTTTATCTTTATTTTAAAAAAAAATTTAATAAAACAAAAAACAAATTTGAATAAAATTAAAAAAAAAAACAACATAACCTGTTCAAATTGTACTAAAGTCATATATTTAGTAATTTTATGTTGTGGATATTTCCAATCCGTTTTCCAGTAATCTTCCTAACTTGGTAACTTAAAAACACTCATATAAATTATTAGGGCAAACCAAATTAACAATTCTTCAATTATTAAAGAATCCCATTTACGGCCTTTACTAGCAGATTTTACTAATGCATAATAATTTGTATTTTTAACAATAATATTCAATTGTGGATTAGGAAAAAATAGATGAAAAATTGAATAAGAAGTAATTTCGCCAATAGGTAATTTATTAGCTACTTCTACTTGAGAAATATGATATAATTTTGCATGCTAAAATTTTTGAAACTATGGCAGTGATGGTAAATTTGATTGAGATATATTTTTTTTTTTAGTTTTACTATGTTTATTAACTTTACTAATTTTTTTTTTGTTTTTAACATTTATAGTTTCTTCTTCTATTTCATCAGAAGTTTCTTCTTCGGTTTTATTAGCAGCTTTATCTTCAACTTCATCACTATCAACATCAGTAATATCTCTTGCTTCATTTTCAATTTCATTCTCAATATTTCGTATTAGCTCAAAAATATATAAGTCATTATTTTCAAAATCATCATTCATATCGTATATCTTTATTGAAAAATAATATTCAAGTGATATGTAAAAAAAAAAAATATAGTAAATAAAAAAAACTACAACAATCGTAATAATGATCGTAACGATGATCGGGATTGACAAAGCAAATAGAAGTTAATCAAACCAAAAACAAAAACAATAAATTATATAATACTAAAAATTAATGAATTTCCAAATAAATAAAAGTCAGGATTTTTAGATTAAATAGGTAAAACCTTAATTTTTACCATGATACAAACACTACATTAATTACAAATCGAACTTCAAAAATTTCAGGGCAAATTTGCAAGAGAAATGATTTAAGGGATAGATCATTCGAATATAATTCAACTTAGTATATAAAGAATATAAGAAAATATTTTCCAGGGTTCGTTCTTATATGTAAATTTGTTTTAGCAACATTGTATATTTGTGTAATTATTATATAATTATTTAAGAAGATCTAAATTGTTTTTTTTTCATTAATATTAATTTTTTTAATAAACAAATTTTTGACGTAAAATTTTTATTTTACATGTTTATTATAATGAAAATTACTTGAGAAACTAAGGTTATATTTTTTGAAAAACATAAATAATGTAACTCAAATTCCCAATTCCAATTATTTCTTTATTTTTAGCATCTATGAATTTATTAAAAAATCTCTTTTTCATTACGAAGTTGTTTTATGTAGAGTTATGTAAAAAATTTTTATGTAGAGTTGTGTAAAAATTTTTATGTAGCTTTATAAACCTAATGCAGATTTACATAGCTATTTATATAAATCTAAATATATATATATCTATATATATATGTAGAATTATGTAAAATATTTAACTTAATTGATAGTTCATGAATAAATGAAAATGGCAATAGGGGAGATTTTATAATAAATATGGTAACATGAAATCACCTTTCCTATATAAATATATATGATTTAAAATTAAATTGCTTTTAACTTTTGATATACAAACCAATTTTACCGATCTTACTACCATTAGAATCACAAAAACTAGCTCTACAACCTTTGTTAGAAGCTTATAAAAGGTTTGCTTAATAAAAATCAACTTTATATTGTAGGAAAGGGTGATTTTTGTATTATAATATATATATATGTTATTATTCTCATTTATTCGCGGACTACCAATTAAATATTAAAGCTAGAAATAGATTTTAAAGCTTAAACTAAGACGACGCCAGGGCGGCCCTCGAAGTTCGGGTTGATGATCGACATCACTACCTAAGCTGCCGCAGCATTAAGTTCGTTTTCTTCAACATCGATATATATAATTTATATGTTTTGATATAATCCATATAATATTACTAGTGCATGTTGAGGCTGTGACATTGATCATCAACCAGAACTTCGAGGGACCACTCTGGTGTCGTCTAAACTAGGGGTTTGGGGAGGGTTTTCTGGCTGCTGAACATTTTTACTTAGTATATCGAACACTGATTACCTTAGTCATTTTTGAGAAATAGCCAAAGTAAATTAATT